GGATAAATGATGAGGTGGGGAATAAAAAAAGGGAGAAAGGGGAGCAGGAAAAGCCAAATTTTAAAATTTTGGGGATTCGTTGACCCAAAATTGGGTTCCGATCTCCAAAGGGAGGGGAAAAAGCCAAATTCCGGGGTTTTTTTAGGGTTTGTTGTGCCAGGAAACCCAGAAATGACCCCAAAAATTGTCCCCAAACCCCGGGGGTGAAGAAATGAAAAATCCTCGGTTTTTAGGGTTTAATGGGAAAAAAATGACACAAAATGAGGGCGAGGAAGGGAAAAATCCCCAATTTTTTCTGGTTTATTGGACAAAACCCCTGAATCGGCCCCAAAATTGTCCCCTAACCCCGGGTGAGCGAGGAAGGAAAAAAAATCCCCAATTTTTTCGAGTTTGTTGGCAAAAATCCGCCCTGAATTGGCCCAAAAAAGGAAAAATCCTCATTTTCCCCTTTTTTCTTTTTGGCCCCAAAAATTCTCCCGCATCTCCAAGGGGACGAGGAAAGGGGGGAAAATTCAATTTTTTTGAGGTTTTTTAGCCCAAAAAATGGCCCAAAAGGCCGGGCTGGAGCCGCCGTGAGCCCGGGCACGGCAGGGGCTGAAATTCCCGGGAAATTGGGCAAAAATGGGGAAAATCCCGAATTTTCCTGCGCTGCCTTTTGGGGCTTTCCCGCCGTTTTTGGGGATTTATTCTCCCCCCGCTCAGGCCGCTGAATTTGATTCCTCTCCCCTCATTAAAATTGAGTTTTAATCGGATTTGGGATTTTTTGGGGATTTTCAGCAATTTTCCCTCTCCAGGGCTTTTCCCTCCCTTTTTTCACCCCAAAAATTGAAATTCCCAGGAATTTCCAGCTCGTGGTTTGGGGATAATTTCATTTTTTTTGTCATTTATTCGCCACTTCACGGCCCAGACGCTGATCGGGAACATGGAAGGGCCTTAAAACCTTCCAAAAATGGTAAAATCCGCTCAAAAATCCGCTGGAAATGCGGATTTCCCTGAAAAAATTACCTTTTCAGCGCCTTTTTGCCCCATTTTCACACCCGCCTTGGAGGGAGTTTCGCTCCAGTTGTTCCTGCGTGGAGGAGAAAATTCGAATTATTTCAATCCAGCAAACCGGGATGAGAGGGTGGAGAAAATGGGGGAAAACTCGGGGATGTTGAGCAAAAAATGGGGGGAAAAATCAATTTATTGTCCAGGCTGACAGCGCGGGGCGAAATTTGGGTGTCCCAAAAATTGGGGAGATTCTGGGGCGGAAAAAATTAAAATAAAAAGCAAAATGTAAATCAAACCGGAGGGGGAGAAATAAAATTGAATGGGGAAAAAAAATGAAAATAAATGTTAAACCAGAAGGGAAAAAATAAAATTAAAAGGGGGGCGGGAAATGAAAATAAACCAGAGGGGAAAAAAATAAAATTAAAAGGGGGGAAAATGAAAATAAAAATAAACCAGAGAGGAAAAATAAAGTTAATGGGGGAAAATTAAAATAAAAAATAAACCGGTGGAAAAAAATAAAATTAAAAGGGATTGGAGGGGGGGGAAAAAAAAGGAATAAAATAAAATAAAATAAAATAAAATAAGGTAAAATAAGGTAAAATAAAATAAAATAAAATAAATAAAATTAAATAAAATAAAATGAAATAAAATAAAATAAGGTAAAATAAGGTAAAATAAAATAAAATAAAGTAAAATAAATAAAATAAAATAAGATAAAATGAAATGAAATAAAATAAAATAAAATAAAATAAAATAAAATAAAATAAAATAAAATAAAATAAACCCCCGGCGCTGCTGGGCTTTAATTTCCTCGCCCATAAACGAAACTTTGGGAAAGAGGCGGCGGAATTTGCCCGGATCCCATAAAAAGCCGCGATTCCCCCCGCGGATCCCCCATTGAGGCCATAAAGCCGCAATTCGCTTTTTTCCTTTTTTTTTTTTTTTAATTTTTTGGGGTTTTTTTTCCTTGCCGAGGGCACCAAATGGCGCCGGAGCCGCGGGCGATTCCAACGCGCGGCGCTTTTAGGCCCAAACCTCGGGATTTTGGCTCATGGGCTGCGGGAAGGGACCCGGGCAGGGCCCGGGGGAACCTCGGGGAAATCCCTGGGAAATCTCTGGGAAAACTTTCCCAAGAAATTCCCGGAATGCCCCGGGCTTTGCCCTAAACCGTCACAAATCGCCCCAAACGGTCAAGTTCCACTTTTTTTATTCCCTGGTTTTTTTCCCCTTTCCCTCCGTTTTATTTTTCCCCTTTGTCCTTCCCTTTTTATTCTCATTTTTCCCCTATTTTTTCCCTGTTCTCCCGCGCTTTTTGTTGCTGTATTTTGGGGTTTTTTTCGTGTTTTTTTTGTGTTTTTTTGTGGTTTTTTTTTTAAATGAACGCTGCGTTTTCTTTCTGTTTCCCTTGGAAGTGACTCTGAACCCGCCTCTTTCTCCCCCGTCGTGATCTTGAAATTCCCGGCCTTTTTTCCCCTCTTTTTTCCCCCCATTTATTCCTCGTTTTCCCCATCCCCAAACGCTGGAAAAACCAAAATCCGGAACAAGAAATGAAATCAAGTTGGAGGCCACCAAACTCCAATTCGAATTCCACCAAACTCCGCCAAAAACTCCAATTCCGGCGCCTTTTGGGGCGTCCGATTTTCGCTGGGAGATGAAAAATTCCCAAAAAATCCAACCTGAGGAGCCTCGGTGGGAACCGCGCCGAGGAAAAAGGGGAGAAAAGCAAAAATCTGGGGGGAAAAAAAGGGAAATTAAATCCATAATTCGCTGCGGGCAAAACAATGAAACCCCGTTTAAAAACTGCAGGGAAAGAATGAAAATTAAATGCCATTAAAATCCGCCCCAATCCGGAGAGTTTCGCTTTAAAAATAAAAATATTTTTGGGTTTTTTCCGAGTGTTTTCGGCTGGATCGGAGAATTCCCGGAGCCAAAGAGGCAGCGGCGCTTGGCGCTCTCCAAATTCCGTTTTTTTTCCCCAAATTCCGGCTTTTTCCCCCCCAAATTCCGGCTTTTTCTGCCCCAAATTCCGGCTTTTTTCGCCTCAAATTCCGGCTTTTTTTTCCCCCAAATTCCGGCTTTTTTTTGCCCCAAATTCCGGCTTTTTCTGCCCCCCTTCTCTGGTGGGATTTTTCTCTTTTCCCCTTCCCGCCCGATGCGGTTTTATCCCAGAAATTCCAGACATTGGGGAATGAGGGCGGATAATTAAAAAAAGCTGCTCGGGCAGGGCGAGGGGAGGCGAAGCTGCTGCGCAGCGGGGAAAGGGAGAAGAGAAAAAGAAATAAATTAAAATTCAAAATACACAAGGAAAAAAAGGAAAAAAAAACCCGGAAAAATCAAAGAAAATTCGGATTTCACCTTTTTTTCCTCCATCGCCTGAAACCGCTCGGGAAAAAACCCAACGCGCACCGAGGAGCTGAGGGAGAAATTGGATTTTTTTGGGGGGTTTTCCCCAAATTTTTCTCTCCCGGCCCCGGCCCCGGTTTTTTTTCCTGAAGGGCCAAACCCGAGCGCGGCCCCCAAAGCGCCCCAGGCCCTGCAGAGCCCGGAATATTCGGAATAAAAATCAAATTTCGGCCGAAATTTGCGGCTCCGAGGGGGAGGAAGGAGCGGCCGGGGGAGGAAGGCGAAGGAGGAAGAGGAGGGAGGGGGGGGGGACGATAATTAAACCGTAATTAAACCAGAATTAAACCAGAATTAAACGGGGAGGGGGGGGTTTATTTTGGACCGCAAAAAGCGGATTTTCCACCGATGCAGCGCGAACAGAATTAAAGAACCAAAAACCCAAACAAAACCAGAAATTATATAAATATGAATATAGATATAAAGCAATACATTATTTTTATTTTTTAACCCAAACTTCCCCGGTTTATCACCGCTATAAAAACGCGCAGGGGGGGCGAATTTCGACCGGGCATTTATGGGGAAATGAGGATTTTTTTGGCCGGTTTTTTTGCCGGGTTTTTTGCTGGGTTTTTTTGCCGCTTTTTGCCGGGTTTTTGCCTCTTTTTGCCGTTTTTTTTTTTTCCCCTGTTTTTTTGCCCTTTTTTGCGGGTTTTTTGCCGATTTTTTTGCCGCTTTTTTTTTGCCGGGTTTTTGCCGGTTTTTCCCCGGTTTTTTACCGGTTTTTTTCCCCAGTTTTTTGCCGGTTTTTTTTTGCGGTTTTTTTTTGCCGGGTTTTTTACCGGATTTTTTGCCGGTTTTATTGCCGGTTTTTTGAGGTTTTTTCCCGGTTTTCCCCCAGTTTTTTGCCAGGTTTTTTTTGCCGGGTTTTTTGCCGGTTTTTTTTGCCGGGATTTTTGCCGATTTTATTGCCGGTTTTTGAGGTTTTTTCCCCGGTTTTTTGCCTGATTTTTTCCCGTTTTTTTGCCACTTTTTCCCCCGTTTTTTCCCGCTTTTTTCCCGGGTTTTTTGTCGCTTTTTTGCCGGGTTTTTTTCCCCGCTTTTTTCCCGGGTTTTTTGCGGGATTTTTGCCGCTTTTTTTTTCCCGTTTTTTTGCCGCTTTTTTTGCCGGGTTTTTTGCCGTTTTTTGCGCGGCCGGGCACGGGCAGATGTCGCTGTTGCTCCACGGAGGAGCCGCGGCCGCCGCCGGCGCCACCTTGACCCCCGTGACGCGCGCGGCGCCGTCTGAATCCCCAAGGCCATTTTCAGTCCTTCGGCGCTCATTGGCCTCGCGTCACGTGGGGGGCGAAGGGAAAAAAATAAAAAAATTTAAAAAAATTAAAAAAAAAAATAGAGGAAAAAATAAAAAAATAAATAAAAAAGAGGCGGGGGTGGCGGCGGGGCGGGGAGGGGGCGAGCGCCATGCGCGGGTAATCACCGCGCTCCGGTTTTTTTTTTATTTTTTTAATTTTTTTTTTTTTTCCCTCACATCCCTTCCCCTTCTATTTTTTTTTTTTTTTTTCCTCCCTCTCTCTCTCTCTCTCTCTCCTCCTTCCCCCCCTCGCTAAAAAAAAGATGTCAGCCCCTGGCTGGAGTATTCCTGGTTCCTGCCGCCGAGGCTCCGGCCGAAAATGTCCTGTCCGGGGGGCAGCGCGGCCGCCGCCGCCTTCCTGATGGAGCCGCTGGCCCGGCCCGAGCCCTTCGCGCCCGCCGCGGGGCTCTTCCCGCAGCCCGGCGACTTCGCGGCCCTGCGCAGCTGCCAGAAGCGCGACGAGGCCTCGCTGGGCTCCTTCCCGTCCTACCTGGCCCAGCTGGACTCGTGGGCCGAGCCCAAGGGCGCCTTCCGGCCGGAGCCGCTGCCGAGCTGCGCCTTCCCCGGCGTCAAGGAGGAGAGCGGCTGCTGCCTGTTCGCCGAGAAGCGGCCTCGCAGCGCCGCCTTCGCCGCCCAGCCCTGCCCGGGCCGGCCCGAGGGCAGCGCGGCCGCTTTCTACCCCTACCCCGAGCTGCAGGAGGGCCCCGAGGCCGCCGAGCTCCGGCCCGGGCTCCGCGGGGAGCGCCTGGAGGCGGCCCCGGCCCCCGCGGCCGAGCGCGGAGCGGCCCCGGCCCCGCCGGGCGCGGAGCAGCCGCGGGGCGAAGTCAAAGCCGAAAAGGCCAAAGCGGGCGCGGGGCAGGCGGAGAAGGAGCCGGGCAAGAGCGCGGACGGCGGCAGCAGCGAGAATTCCGACAGCGAGGCGAAAGGTAAGGCAGGAGGGGGAAATAAATAAATTAATTAATAAAATGAAATGAAATCAGCCGGCGTTCGGCCCCCGCGCCGGCGGTGAAGGGGTTAAACCCGGGCCGGACCGCGCTCGCTGCTCCCCCGCGGAAATTGGGGTAAAAACGATCCGGATGGGGCAAAAAAAAACCCAAAAAAACCAAATAAATAAATTTATATTCGGCTTCAAGCGGCGGTGCTTGGAAATAGAAATATTTAAATATTAAAATATTAAGATATTAAAATATTAAAATGTTTGTGCGTTTGGGGGTGAGAGGGGAGAAAGGGGAGCAGAGAGCGCGGGGTGCGGGAAAAGGATGGAAAATGGGGTTTGGGGGGAAATTCGGTGTTCGGTGCGGGAAAAAGGATGGAAATTGTTTGGTGCATAAAAAGGATGGAAATTTGTTGTTTGGTGCAAAAAAAGATGGAAATTCGGTGTTTGGTGCATAAAAAGGATGGAAATTCGGTGTTTGGTGCGGAAAAAAGGATGGAAATTTGGTGTTTTGTGCGGAAAAAAGGATGGAAATCGTTTGGTGTTTGGTGCCAGAAAGAGGATGGAAAATCGGAGTTTGGTGCAGAAAAAAAGGATGGAATTTTGGTGTTCGGTGCGGAAAAATGATGGAAATTTGGTGTTCGGTGCAAAAAAAAGGTTGGAAATTTGGTGTTTGGTGTTTGGTGCCAGAAAGAGGACGGAAAATCGAATTTTGGTCTCAGAAAAAGGCTGGAAAAGTGAGTTTGATGTCAGAAGAAAGGACGGAAACTTTGTGTTCGGTTGTCTGAAAAAGGATGAAAAAATCGGAGTTTGGTGCAGAGAAAAAGGATGGAATTTTGGTGTTTGGTGCAGAGAAAAGGATGGAATTTTGGTATTTGGTACAAAAAAAAGATGGAAATTTGGTGTTTTGTGCATAAAAAGGCTGGAATTTTGGTGTTGGGTGCAGAGAAAAGGATGGAATTTTGGTGTTTGGTGCAGAGAAAAGGATGGAATTTTGGTGTTTGGTGCAGAGAAAAAGGACGGAAATTCGGATTTTTGTGGCCTTTGCTTTGGCACCGCGGGGATTTTGGGGGGTTCTGGGCTCGTTGCGATTTTCCAGGGGGGCGAACCGCGATTTTCGCCCCTTTTTTTTCCCATTTTTTTCCCCCATTTTTTCCCCATTTCCGCGCGCGGGGCGAGGGTTGGATTCCTCCGGCGGCGGTCAAAGAGAGAGCGCGAGAAAAAAACGAGAAAGAATTAAAATGAAATTAATAATAATAATTAAAAAAAAAGAAATAAAGAAAAGAAGAAAAGAAAAGAGTCTCGGGGCGGGGATTGCGGCTCCTCCCGGGGCTGGGAAGAGGCTCGGCGAGAGGGCGAGAGCAGAAAATCTTTTTCCAATTGAGTTTTTCCGTTTGTCTCCCCCCGTCTCTGCCGTGCCGAGCAGATGTGCCGGGTCTGGGCCTTTCCCCGGGCCCAGAGGCGCCGCCGAGGCCGAAATTTGGGATATTCGGGGTCCGGGGCCCCCCTTGAACCCCAAACCGCGCGGATTCGGCCCGCGGGAAGGACGGGGTTGGATTTTCTGGGGGAAAAACCCCAAAATGTCAGGAAAATCCCGCTGGGATCTGAGCCTGCGCTGAGGGGACCCAAACGCCCCAAAATCCCGGCCCCGGCCAAAACTGCCCCGCCAAAATCGGCCCCGGAGCGAGCAAAACCCCAAAATTCTCCTTTTTCCCCCCCCTCCTCTTTTATTTTGAATAATTCCAATTTTTGGCTTGGCACCGGGAGGGGAAATGATTTTATCTGAGGGCTGAGCTGCGATTACACCCAAAAAACCCCGAGAAATGGGGAAAAAAACCAATAAAAAACCAAGAAAAAAAAGCACCAAAACAAAGGGGAAAAAAAGCAAAGTCAAGGTTATCAAAACCCCGCAAAGCGAATCCGCACAAAAGCGCCGGGAGAGGATTCGGTGCGAGATAACCCAAAAATAAAAAGGTTTTTTTTTGTTTTTTTGGTTGTTATTTTGGGCTGGATTTGCGCTGTGGGCGGAAAGAACGGGGACAAAAAATAAATAAATAAAAATAAAGATGATTAAAAAAAAAGGGATTATATAAAAATATAGAAATAAAAATCAAAAGGGATTTCTCGGCTCGGGTGTTGGGGATGCGCCGGGCTGGGCACATTTGGGGTTTTTTTGGGGTCGCTGTCCCCAAAATTCGCTTTGGGGCGGATTCGGGCGATTTCTGTTCCTAAAACCCTCCCCAAGCTGCGGTTTTGTTCCTGTCGAGGTCATTTTATCTTTATTTCTTTAATCAAAACCCCATTTCTGGTGGAATTTTAACGTTTGGGGGCACCCGAGGTCCCGAAGGGCGAACCCCGAATTTCCACGGAATTTCCCCAAAACTGGGGCCGAGGATTTGCTGCGATTTTCTCGGATTTCCCCCAAATTCGGGGTCGCTCGGGTTTTCCTTCCTCGTGACCCAAATTCCTCCGGTGTTCATTCAGGGGCCGCGGAATTTTCCCCAAATTCCCCCGATTTGCCCCAATTCGTGCCCTGGCCGAGCAGCCCGCAGGGGAAAGCTGCGAAAATTCAACGATTTCACCCCAAAACGGCCCCGAACCGCGCCGGGAAAGGATTTGGGGTTTGGGGGTGATCCGGGGAGCCCCAAATTCATCGGTGCCCGCGGGGGTTTTTAATTAGCGGCCGTTAATTAGCGGGGGAGGCGGGAGATTTGCACCCCGCGCTCCGACCCCGATTTATTCCATAAATCCCCTTTTATTTTACCCCCGAAATCTGATTTATGTCCCCCAAACCCCGCCTTGTGCACCCCAAAATCCCCATTTCTCTCCCCCAAACCCGATTTTTTCCCCCCCAAAAAAATCCAATTTCCCTCCCCAAATTCCGATTTATCCCCTCCAAACTCGATTCTCCTCCCCAAAACCCAGATTCTCTCCCCAAAACCCAGATTCTCTCCCCAAAATCCAGATTCTCTCCCCCAAACCCCGATTTTTCTGCCCTAAACTCGGCTCTTTCCCCCAAATCCCGATTCCCCTCCCCAGCCCCATTTTATCTCCTCCAAACTCGAGGTTTCTTCCCCAAAACCCCATTTCCTTCCCCAAACTCAATCATTTCCCCCCAAACACCATTCCCCTCCCAAAATTCCGTTTCTTCTCCTCCAAACCAAATTTATCCCCCCAAAAATCTGATTTATCTGTCCAAATCTCAATTTATCTCCCCAAAACCCGGTTTATCTCCTCCAAAACCGATTCTTCTCCTCAAAACCCCATTTTTTTCCCCCAAAACCCGCGTTATCTCCCCAAAAATCTGATTTATCTCCCCAAATTCTGATTTATCTCCCCAAAATCTGATTTATCTCCCCAAAAATCTGATTTATCTCCCCAAATTCTGATTTATCTCCCCAAAAATCCGATTTATCTCCCCAATCCCGGTCTCTTTTTCAACCCCCGGCTCCCCCAAACGCCTCCATTTAAACCCGAGTTTAGGGCCGAATAAATCTTTATTTCACCCCGAATAAACCTTGATTTAAACTCGATTTCCAACCGAATAAAACCTTTATTTAAACCCGATTTTCGAGCCGGGAAAAAACCCACAATTTAAACCCGATTTTGGGGGCGAATAAACAAATTTTTTCACCCGACTTTCGAGCCAGAACCCCCCGTTATTTAAACCCCATTTTCGTGCTGAATAAACCTTTATAAAAACCCCATTTCGGGCCTAATAAAACTTTATTTAAACTCGGCTTTCGAGCCCGGAAAAACCTTTATTTCACCTTGATTTTCGTGCGGCCAAAGTCTGATTTTAACGCGAATTTTCGGTCCAGGAAAAGCCGTTATTTAAACCCGATTTCGGACCCTCGCAGGGCCAGGTTTTTATGCCGGAAAAAGCTTTATTTAAACCCGATTTTCATGCCGAATAAACCTTGATTTATACTCGATTTTCTCGCGGAAAAAAACCCTTCTATAAACCCGATTTTCGGGCCTAATTCAGCCCCTGTTTCTGTGCGATAAAACCCTCGTATAAACCCCATTTCCCGGCGGATAAACCCCTCCTATAAACCCCATTTTCTCGCCGAGAAAAACCCAAAAACCTCCATTTTCTCATAGTAAAAAAAACCAAAAACCAAATAACTCAATTTTCTCACGGAAACCCCCCATTTAACCCCATTTTCTGGCGGAAATAACCCCATTTTCTCACGGAAATCCTCCCAAATAACCCCATTTTCTCACGGAAAAAACCCTATTCAACCAAATTTCCTCGTGGAAAAAACCCATATGAGCCCATTTTCTTGTGGAAAAAAACCCATTTAACCCCATTTTCTCACGTTAAAACCCCCCTTATTTAACCCCGATTTTCGGGCCTAATTCAACCCCTATTCCCACGCGTTAAAATCTTTGTATAAACCAATTTTTTTTTCAAGGAAAAACCCTCATTTCACCCCATTTTCTGGGGGCAAACCCCCATTTTCCAACGGGGGAAAAAAAGAAACCATTTAACCCCATTTTGTCTCGGAGAAAAACCCATTTAACACAATTTTCTCGCTGCAAAGCCCCCATTTTCTCTCGGGGGAAAAAACCCCAAAACCCCATTTTCTCTTGGAGAAAAACCCAATTTTCTCTGGAATCCCCCACTTCCTCCGGGACCCCCATATTCTCGGATAACCCCCACTCTCTCCGTGAGGCCCCCACTCTCTCCAGACCCCCATTTTCTCTCAGAAGCCCCCACTTTCTCCGTGAGGCCCCATTTTCTCCGGATCCCCCCATTTTCTCCGGGACCCCCATTTTCTCCGGGACCCCCATTTTCTCCGGGACCCCCATTTTCTCTGGAATCCCCATTTTCTCCGGATCCCCCCACTCTCTCCATGAGCCCCCACTCTCTCCGTGATCCCCCATTTTCTCCGTGAGCCCCCATATTCTCGGATCCCCCATTTCTCCGGATCCCCCCGCTCTCTCCGTGAGCCCCCATTTTCTCTGTAATCCCCCATATTCTCGGATCCCCCATTTCTCTGGGATCCCCGCTCTCTCCGTGAGCCCCCATTTTCCCCGGATCCCCCCATTTTCTCGGATAACCCCCATTTCTCCGGATCCCCCCCCATTTCTCCGGGACCCCCATTTTCTCCATGAGCCCCCCGCTCTCTCCGTGAGCCCCCATTTTCTCTGTAATCCCCCGCTCTCTCCGTGACCCCCATATTCTCGGATAACCCCCATTTCTCCGGATCCCCCCCATGTCTCCGGATCCCCCGCTCTCTCTGGATCCCCCCATTTCTCCGTGAGCCCCCATATTCCCGGACCCCCCATATTCTCGGATCCCCGCTCTCTCCGTGAGCCCCCATATTCCCGGATCCCCCATGTCTCGGGACCCCCGCTCTCTCCGTGAGCCCCCACTCTCTCCATGAGCCCCCATATTCCCGGATCCCCCCATTTCTCCGTGAGCCCCCACTGTCTCCGTGAGCCCCCATATTCCCGGACCCCCATGTCTCGGGGTCCCCGCTCTCTTCATGAGCCCTCCATATTCTCGGATAACCCCCATTTTCTCTGTAATCCCCCATATATCCCGGATCCCCCATTTCTCGGGATCCCCGCTCTCTCCGTGAGCCCCCACTGTCTCCATGAGCCCCCATTTCCCCGGATCCCCCATGCCTCGGGATCCCCCCACTCTCTCCATGAGCCCCCATATTCCCGGACCCCCCATGTCTCCGGGATCCCCGCTCTCTCCATGAGCCCCCGCTCTCTCCATGAGCCCCCATATTCCCGGATCCCCCATTTCCCCGGATCTCCCCATTCTCTCCGGGATCCCCGCTCTCTCCGTGAGCCCTCCATATTCTCGGATAACCCCCATTTTCTCTGTAATCCCCCATATATCCCGGACCCCCCATATTCTCGGATCCCCCATATTCTCCGGGATCCCCGCTCTCTCCATGAGCCCCCATATATCCCGGACCCCCCATATTCTCGGGTCCCCGCTCTCTCCATGAGCCTCCATATTCCCGGATCCCCCCATATATCCCGGACCCCCCATATTCTCGGGATCCCCGCTCTCTCCATGAGCCCCCATATATCCCGGACCCCCCATATTCTCGGGATCCCCGCTCTCTCCATGAGCCCCCATATATCCCGGACCCCCCATATTCTCGGGGGTCCCCGCTGTCTCCGCGCCCGCGGGCGCTGCCGGTGCGCGGCTGACGCCGCTGTTGTCTTTGGCAGAGGAGGCGGCGGCGGCGGGCGCGGGCGGGACGTGGCTGACGGCGCGCAGCGGGCGCAAGAAGCGCTGCCCCTACACCAAGCACCAGACGCTGGAGCTGGAGAAGGAGTTCCTGTTCAACATGTACCTGACCCGCGAGCGCCGCCTGGAGATCAGCCGCAGCATCGCGCTCACCGACCGCCAGGTCAAGATCTGGTTCCAGAACCGCCGCATGAAGCTCAAGAAGATGAACCGCGAGAGCCGCGTGCGCCAGCTCAGCGCCGGCTTCAGCTTCAGCTGAGCGCCGCGGCCGCCTCCGCGCAACCCGCCCGCCCGGCCGGCCCCTCCGCCATGCCTTCCTCCGCCCCGCTTTGAATTTTTATTTTATTCTAATTTTTTGGGTTTTTTTTTTTTGCTGTTTGTTCTGTATTTTATTGTTATTTTATTGGTTTGTTTCCTTATTTTATTCTGTTATTTTATTGGTTTATTTTCTTATTTTATTCTGTTATTTTATTGGTTTATTTTCTTATTTTATTCTCTTATTTTCCTATTTTATTTTCCTATTTTATTCTCTTATTTTCTTATTTTATTCTCTTATTTTATTCTCTGATTTTCCTATTTTATTCTCTTATTTTCTTATTTTCTTCTGTTATTTTCCTATTTTATTCTCTGATTTTGTTCTGTTATTTTCTTATTTTATTTTCTTATTTTTATTCTGTCATTTTATTTTGTTCTTTTCTGTTGTTATTTTCTGGTTTTATTTCATCATTTTATTTTTTATTTCATCCTTTCCTTTTATTATTTCACTCTTTCCTTCTATTATTTCATTCTTTCCTTTTATTATTTCATTTCTTTATTTCATTCTTTTATTTCATTATTTCATTTCCTCGTTTATTTTATTTTATTTTATTTTATTTTATTTTATTTTATTTTATTTTATTTTATTTTATTTTATTTTATTTTATTTTTTCTTTTATTACTCCCCTTCCTCTTCTTATTTTATTATTTTATTTTACCATTCTATTTTATTATTTAATTTTCTTTTTTTTTAAATTTTATTATTTTCTGTTATTATTTCATTGCATCCTCCCATTTCATCCTCTCATTTCCTTATTTCACTGCATCCTTTCATTGCATTACTCCATTTAATTTCATTTCCTTCTTTTATTTCGTTCTTTTATTTTCTCATTTTATTTTGGGATTTTTTTTTTGTTTTATTTTGTTTTGTTTGTTTTGTTTGTTTTACTCTCGCCCGCAAAATCCCCGACAGCGCCGAAACGGCGGAAAAACACAAAAACCCCAATGAAACAAAAGGACCTGGAGCGGTTTTTCCGCGCCGCGAGGGGATTGCGCAGCCCGCGGATCCTCGGAGGGGAAATGAAAGGCGGAGAAGGAGACGGTGGCAAAGCCCAAACCCAAACCCAACCCCAAACCCAAACCCAAACCCAAACCCAAACCCAAATCCGCCTTTCCCGGGTGTTTAAGTTATTGCAGAGCAGCACAAGGACCTGGCGCTCTCCCCCAGGTGTGGGGTTTCACGTTCAAAACGCCTCCCAAAGTTTTCTGGGTTTATTATTTTATTTATTTTTATTTTTTTTTTTCCTCCCCAAATCCTAGCGTAGCTTGGCCGCCGTGCAATAAAAACGGCGGAAAAAAAAAAAAAAAAGGGACAAAAAATGGAGAGAAAATGTGGATTTTGTGTGGGGTTTGTGTGAAACGCGAGGGGCAGAGGGGGGAAAATCTCTGCAGCTCCTCCCGGGGAAAGCGGGGCCGTCCGTGGAATAAAATATCCAATATAAAATATCAAATAAATAAAATATCCAATAAAAATATCAAATAAAATATCAAATAAAAATATCAAATAAATAAAATATCAAATAAATAAAATGTCAAATAAATAAAATCTCAAATGAAATATTTGAGCGGAATAGAGAAGGAAAAAAAAGGGTGCGGGGGGGGAGGAAAGGAAAAAAAAATAAAATTAAAAAATCGGAATATTGGGTGGTCTGATGATGGGGGGAAGAAGAAGAAGAAAAAAAAAGGATAAAAAAAGGATAAAAAAAGGATAAAAAGTCCATTTCTGGTGGCTGTGGTATTTAAATATATCCTGTATGTGTTACCCTCCTGTGCATGTATCTTCCTTTACGGAGCCAAAATAAATTTCATAGAACCGTGGACGAGTGGGTTCCTTAAAATGTGCAAAAAAAAAAGAAAGAAAAAAAAGAGAATAATTTATTTATTTATTTATATATTTTTTTTTTTCCCTTTCGAGGAAGGGAGGGGGGGATGCGAGTGCAAGAATCGCTTCTTCCCCACCTCCCCCCTCCCCAATCACCACCACCTCTCTCTCTGTATATAAAGATTTTATTTTTTATTTATTTTTATATTTTTTTTTCTCCTCAAGACTCATCCTTTTAAGGCTTCCAGGAGCCTCTCCTGACCACGGGGGAGGGGGGGGGGATGAGATGAAGATTTCCCCCCTTTTTTATTTTTTTATTTTTTTATTTTAATATAAGCGCGCGCGCGAGCCCCATAACGCTGATTTAAATATTATCCAGGTGACCACAATAAGTCAAGGTCATAAAACAGCGATGTCAGGCCGGCCTCGGCGAGCGCTGGAGGTGGATTTTATGATCTGCAAATATAAATGCGCCGCGGCAGTAAAAGATGCATTTAAAGGTGACGGTGCGGGAGGGACGGGAGGCAGAGCCGCCGCGGCGACCTTGGGGCGCGCAGCTGCCGGCGCGCGGCGCTCGGGGATCCGCAGCCGCGGAACTCGGGCGCTCTGGGGACGGCGGCGCAAGGTAGGAGCGCGGATTTCTCCGCTTTTTCCGGATTTTGGTGATGATGGTGATGATGATGGTGGTGGTGATGGTGATTTTTGGTGAGGATCTTCCCGCAGCCCCCGCGCGTTTCCTCCGCGGGGTTTTGCGCGCCTGGCAGCGGAAATCCCCGGGTTTCCAATTCCCGGTTTTTCTCCCCTTTTCCCCCGCAAAGCGCGGAGGCTGCGCGGAAGGCGGAGGCTGCGGCAGTTGCGGCAATTTCGGGGCGAACCGCGGGGTTCGGAGCATCCGCGGGATCCGCGGGGTTTGGAGCGCGGGCGCGGAGCCGTGCGCGGGTTCGGGCCCCGCTGCCGGCAGCTCCCGGGCCGCGGTTTTGGGCCGAATCCGCGCGATTTGAGCTGCGAGGGTCCCGCATTTCCGAGCGCATTTCCGAGCCCATTTCCCATTTCCCATTTCCCATTTCCCATTTCCCATTTCCCATTTCCCCTTTTCCCATTTCCCATTCTGAGCCCATTTCCCATTCCCCATTCCCCATTTCCCATTTCCCATTATTTCCCATTATTTCCCATTATTTCCCATTATTTCCCATTTCCAGCCGATTCCCCCGCACGCCGCGGTCGGATCCATCCGCACCCAGCCCCGGCGCCCTCAATTCGCCGCTCCGCGCTCATTTTTCCCAATTTCGCCGTTTCCGAGCATTTCCCGAGCTGCGAATTTGGGGCGGAGAGCGGCGCGAGGGGGGCGAAGGGAGCCCAGCAACAAAGGGGCGAATTCCCCCAATTTCCTCTCCCTTTTCCCCTCTTTTTTCCCCTCTTTTCCCCTCCCTCCTCCTCCTCCTCCTCTGGCCGGGATTTTTATTTTTTTTAATTTTTTTTGGTTTTTTTTTTTGCCCTTTTCCGCCCGTTCTGACAGAAACCCGTGGATGCCAGCGCAGCTGATCTGTGGTTTAGGTAGTTTCATGTTGTTGGGATGGGCTTTAGGCTCGGCAACAAGAAACTGCCTTAATTACGTCAGTTCGTCTTCATCAAGGGCAGCACCCGCAGCTCCGCCGGGCGCCCTAAAAAAAAATCAAATCAAAAACCCCAAAATCCCCCCAAAATCCCCGTCCCGATGGGGACGGCGCCCAAACCTGCGCGACCCCCCCAGCGCGCCCCTCGCGGGGATTTTTGCCCTTTTTCTCTCATTTTTTGCCCTTTTTCTCTCATTTTTTGCCCTTTTTCTTTCATTTTTGCCCCTTTTTCTTTCATTTTTTGCCCATTTTCTTTCATTTTTTGCCCCTTTTTATTTGATTTTTGCCCCTTTTTATTTGATTTTTTTTTGCCCATTTTTATTTGATTTTTGCCCCTTTTTATTTGATTTTTTTGGCCCCGTTTTATTTGGTGTTTTGGCCCATTTTTATTTGGTTTTTTTTTTGGCCCCGATTTCCCCCCTTTTGTTGCTGGGATGATGAGGACAAAAGCAGCGCTTTTAGCGCTTTTCCACCCCAAATTATCAGCGATGATCGGCAGAGCCCCGGCTCGGGGTGATGCCTTTAAAAAACGAGAGAAAAAATAAAATTATTATAAATAATATTTTTTTAAAACCCCCACATTTAAATCCCCTCCCCTTTTCCTCCCTCCCCATGGCGGATTCTAAACCCCTGAATTTTTAGAAAAATATTCAATTTTTGAGCTGGGCGGGCGATTTGGGGATTTTTTGGGGGGTTCGGCTGAGGAGGGGGCGCTGATTTTTGGGGTGCTGGGAGCGCCCCTCGCGCCCCCTTTTGCTGAAAATCCCCTAAAAAATCCCCAAAACTCGCAGGTGAAAAAGGGGGAAAAAAAGCGGAATTCGGGGGCTTTCAGCTCCTCCTGCCGCCGGCGCCTCCAGCCAGGGATTAAATTCAAAATTCCGCCCTTTTTTGGCTTTAATCCGGATTTGCAGCTGCTCTGCGGAGCCTGGATGGGGAATTCGGGAATTAAATCCTCTGGAATAAAAAACACGGGGAAAAAACAAAATAAAAATATAAAAAATCCTCTGGAATAAAAAAATCCTCTGGAATAAAAACCACAAAACCCTCAGGAATTGGGGCTGGAGGAATTCGGGCGTTTGTGCTGCAGGAGCAGAAGGGGGGTAAAAAAAGCGATTTTCCCCCTTTTTCCCCCCTTTAAAACGCGCCGGGAAAGTTGGGGAAGTTGTGCCAGCGTTTGAATGCCGAAAAATGGGGAAAAAAGGGGAAATTTGGGAGTGAAACGCAGCAAAAACCGCGTGGAAAGAGGAATCGGCGAGGTCTGCAAGCGCCAAGGGGCGAGGGTGAATCCCTGAGGGGAAATTGGGAATTTCGGAGCCGTTTCCGGCTGCTCTCGGTGGATTTTGTGTCCTGACACCCAAAAATGAGAATTGTGCCGGAGCCGGGTGAGGCTGCGGGGCGCGGGTCGGGATTGAGGCGAAACTCGGAGTTTTTGGGGTTTTGGCTGCGGGCGGGCCGAGGCTGGGCCGGAATTGTGAATTTTGGGGGTTGGTTCGGCCGCTGGGTTGGGAT